AATCTGTTATTGACTGGAATCATTTCATGCTGCTTGTGTGTGTTTCCATGTTAATTAATTGTTTCTTCCTTTCTGATCATTTGTTTTTTCTCGTTCATTTCAGGGGGCATTTTTACACCAGGAAGCACTGAACTTCAAAGTGCATTTAAATATGCAATTACGTTGCACAACAAGAATGAATCTTCACGATTCCAGGTTGAACCAATTACAGATGTTATTGACACCAATGACCCGTTCAGGTTTACCCGTCAAAGTAAGTAACAGATCATGTTGATCAATATAAAAATTTCCAAGTCGACCAGAATCGAAAAGTCTTTCAAAATGATCGCGAGTTAACAATGAACTGCCCTCAATGATCTGTAAAAATTGTTAGAGACCTATGTTCGATATAGACTGTAGTACATGTATTAGCATAAGTTTTTACAGATTTACTTTTGGCTCACAGATTCGTATCGGCAACAGGTTTTCATATTGTTATGAAGATATTCACTAGAGTACTCCAAGAATAACGCATTTATTTAACCTGAGACATCTTTCTTCCAACAGTGTGCCTACAGCTGAGTCGAGGTATATTCACTCTTGTTACACCAATTATTGGACCATCTTATGAGATTCTTGTTTCTTATTCAAATACCTTCCAGGTAAGTAGCAAATGCTTCACTTTCAACAAAAGTAACAATGTCAGCTTTCTCAATACACCTCAAAAATTGTATCAAATTCTGATGATTTATTCACTAGCTCAGTGGTTAAAGAGTTGGTCGAGGTGATTGAGTGATTATTGGGCCGAGTCTCATGTTTCCTGCGCGTACGCCGTGGTCTACTGGGATTATACATTTGCTTAACCCTCAATCGACTGATCCATACTCATACAAGCTTACACTTCATTTTCTGGACCAAATATGTAACTGCGAACACTTAACATTAGCTTTAATGAAACATTGATTAAATTCCATAAATAACTTGGACTGAGGTCAAAGGAAAAGTTATGGTCCAATAATAGGAGTAGTAAGTAAGGGCTACGTCTTAAAAAAAGCGGTCCTTAGCAACACATGTTTTTGACCGAAAAGAAAGGGAAGAAAGGGGGTAAAATAAAACTGAAGTGCCATATTGACTAGAGAAATAAGACTTTATTCATAAAATTAATAAACTTTTTTAATACAAAATCAAACGATTTTACAATGGTTGTTTCTTTATACTTACCTGTTAGTTGAATTGCCTTTCGTAGACAGTTTCTCACACAGGTTTTCTAACCAAGGTTTTGCCGGCCACACGCGATCCCCCAATCCCAATTTTCAGCTTCTTGGTGAATAGCTTTTCAATTGTACCAGGGGCAGCGTAGGGAGCAATTAGAGGGTCATAGATGATCATTTTGTACTCCTCTTTCTTGTAAAAGAGTAAAAGTCTACAATGGGCAGACGAATCTGCCAATGCATTGTAGCTTAATGTTAATACACAAGTTTCTCCCCTTTGCGTACACATGCACACGTTTCTTTTATGACTGTTTCTGGGGTACAGTATATTTTTAAGGAAGGGTCTTTACTTACTGGACCAAATTGCTTGGACATTTACATATCCTTGCATGAACAAAATTTCCTGAAGAAGGTAATACCAAACCTTTGATGCTGGTTTTAGAATATGATAGGAACTCACACATAAGAGTAACCACTGAAGTAAAAAAGATGGATTCATTAGTACCAACTTTCGGAAGTTCATCGAAAGACTTCAAAAATGAATTTTTCGGAAGTTTAACAATAGAATTTGGAATAGAGAAATAATTGCTTTAAAACTCATACTTTGATATTTACTATGAACTTTTAGAAGCATGAAAAGATTATCGAGAAAAACTTGTTGATTTACTCATTGCTTCAGGCATTAAGATGCACCCCCGATTTTTGCTCACCCTTTTACCCCCTCTCTATTTGGCATACGTGGCTAAGGACGACCTTTTTTACGCCGTAGTCCTTACTTACTACTAATGGGATTTCATAAAATCTGATTTAAAACAAAACGCTCAATAAAGGTTAATGCAAAAGAAATTTAGTTTTACTAACTAATACTTCAGTGAGTGACAAAAGTTTAAGACCACTAGATTTTTTAAAATAATTATTAAATGGAAAGCGATAGAGTTACCAAAATAACCTTAAATTATCAATTTCTTATGACCTTTTCATCAAGCAAAAAATAAAATATAAAAAAGCATACGAAAAAAAGTTTGGAGATATGGACGTTTTCCACATGACTTGACAATGCATCAACAGCAACAGAGTGCAAAAGAGCCAAAGCTCAAGTATAAAATGCTTAAAGAAGTATTGAAAGTGAATGGATTGAATTACTTGTTTACATTTCATCCTGAATCTAAGATTATTGTTAGTGGAAGCAGTGATTGTTCATTGAAGGTTTGGTCAAGTATTACTGGTGAATGCCTTCGTACTCTGATTGGTCATTCAAAAGGTGTTTGGACATCTCAACTTTCTTGTGAAAACATTTTAATATCAGGATCAGTTGATGCAACTATAAAAGTTTGGGATGCTATGAGTGGCCATTGTCTGCAAACACTTCATGGACACACTGCTACAATCAGATGCTTAGCTTTACATGCAAATCATGTTGTCTCAGGAAGCCGAGATACAACTCTCAGAATTTGGAATATAGAGTCAGGGGTTTGCTCTCATGTTTTAAATGGCCATTCCGGTGCTGTGAGATGTGTTAGTTTCGACGGCGATATAATTGTGTCTGGTGAATACGATAACTGTTTAAAAATTTGGGATTTTAAAACAGCAATCTGTCCTCGAAATTTTTTACACGTTGATAAGATTTACGCTTTACAATTAACAGCCAATTTTATTGTCTCGGGGGGCTATGATTCTACGATACGAGTTTTTGCTACTGATGCAAAAGTACTAAAACGTCTATTGAAAGGCCATAATTCTCCAATTACTTGTTTGATTTTACGTAAAAACGTACTAGTCTCAGGCTCGTTTGATGCTGAAATCAGAGTTGGCATTTAAGTGCAGGATACTGCCTATACACACTGCCTGGAGTTCAAGGACATTCGCGTGCGATCACGAGTCTGGAAATCAACGATAAATTCATTGTTTCAGCAAGCAATGACGGCAAAATTAAATTATGGGTGTCAAAACTGGTAATTTCATACGTGATTTAATCGTTCTTAGTACTGGTGAACAAATTTGGTGCACGAAAATAACAAATTCGCAACTTATTTGATCAACTGGCTCTCAGTCCAATGCTGTTCAAAGCCGAATATTGATATTAAATTTTATTTAAAGACGTATCAAAATGTTAATAAATAATTTTAAATTTGTTAAACCTCTGTTTATTTGAGCAAAAGTGTGTTGTTGTACGAGGAGGGGTTCGGTCCGAAAGTAGTGTCAAAGTGCTGTCAGAAATTTTGCTATTAAAGAAATTATGAAACAGATAAATAAGCTTTAAGTTTGATTTTATTTCATATCGTGATGGTAACTTGATGATATAAATTGTTTTTATGATGTGCTGTAGCCATCAATTTTCGTTTAATTGCCTACGTAAAAAATCCAGTTTGGCGTCAGCTTTTCTTATTTTTTCACGTTTGAAATGTTCAACTAGTCGATCTGTAATCTTATCTGCTAGTGCATCCATTGCTGAAATACTCATTCCGACTTCAACACATTGTGACTGCTGGAGAAATAAGTTATCATTATATGTTTGAATATATTAATATCATTAAACTACTTACATTCGTAACAGAGGCACTCGTCGTCGGTAGGAAAACCTCCACATCCGGCCGTGAACGTTTCGATTTCTAAACGAAAATCAAAAAGGAACAATTAAACATCAGTTTCAAATTCAATCAATATTAAATATTACTTGACAGGAATCAGAAGATGAACTTGATGAACGATTTCGTTTCTTGCGGATTTGGATTCTCGCTCTTCGAGGTTGATTGGCTAGATCGTTGGTTCGAGCCATAGCACACTAATAGATTTTAATAATGAAATAATCAAATAGAAATTGCTAGAGATGATAACATTAAATCAGCAGATCACAATTGTAGAAGAAGCGTTGAAATAGAAGAAGCTTTGTAATATGATAAAAATTAGTCATCAATCATTAGTAATGCGCAGAAAATTTTTTGTTGTTTAAATGTTGTGAAAATAAAAGTTTCATCGCTAACTTTTGACCAGGAAATGTTTAAATTACACAAATTGTCTCTGGTCTATTTTTCTAGGGCCAGCTTTTTTGTACGTAACTATTCATTTCAAAGGCAGTTTTTACGTATACTCCTAATCTAACAATGAATCATCAACCTGAATAACCAAAAAGTTTTTTCCACAAAGTCAAAAGTAAAAGATAAGGATTCTGATTTTTCTCCCTGTTTAACCGTGAATCTCCCAATAACCTGAATCTGATTGAGCACTGATTATTTTTCGAACATGTAGTTCAATCGCAGCTTTCAGTATATAAATTGTATGGATTATATTAATTTTGCTACTCATTTTTGAATTTACTGTTATTTGTGTTACTTGAAACAATTTTTTCCTCTCTTTTTCCATCTCAGATGCCTTTCATTCATCCAGGATATCCGGAAACAAACAGTCAAAATATTCCCAATTTTGGCTTAAACATCCGACCAGAGTATCTTAAAGCAATAGCCGATGTTATCAAATTATACAGATGGACAGACATAATCTACATTTACGATTCAGACGATGGTGAGCGAAAAAGTTGACACATTCTAACAATCTGTTTGCTACATGAGAATGAAAACAAATTTTCGTTTGTTTGGTGCAAAATTCATGTTCAAAGCTAAAAGTTATTAATATCAGATTATGTTTTTATGTAGCTCCATCAGGGGTACATAAAAAATAACCGTACACAAACCAATTGAACGTCAATAAATTGAAAATTAATTGATAATTGAAAAGAGTCTGATTTTCACTATATTTTTTATTTTCTAATCTTTTAGGATTAATTAAACTACAACACGTCTTTTCAATCTTATACTCGGACGGACACACTTTGCACTTGCGAGCAGTGAAGAGGATCACCAACGGTACTGAAGGCTATTCTTTCCTTCGAGCAATTGAACACAAAGAAAAGGACGCAATGAAATATGTTATCGTCGAATGTGACGCTAAAGTGGCCAAAGAAATGATCTCACGTCATGTTCGCGACATCTATATGGGTCGACGAAACTTTCATTATTTTTTTACAAACTTGATTATGGACCAGTTTTATTCACCAGGAATGCAAATTGATGAATTTGGAGCCATTAATATGACTGGGTTCAGCATATTCAATCGAAATTCGACATTTTTCCAAACTTTCATTAGCTCTTGGAAAGCATTGGATCCTTCCCAATGGCCAGGAGCTGGAAATCGCTACATTTCAGTAAGAAAAACATAAGAAAAATTCTTGAAAAAAAGAAACCAAAAACACGAAAAGAAACAAACTAAACAGAAGAAAATGCATTATTTATTTTAGCTATCAAATGTCATTTTGCGTCAATACTTTATCCTTTCAATATTTCATTTTCAGTAAACTACCTTTGCCAGTGGTTGTTGATTCTCATGTGAATCAATGTTTTTGTCTCTGTTTTCAATCTCAAAGTTTCATTTTTACTTTTTTCGTTGAAAGAAACAAAGTTTTAAAAGTTTGATTGCTTCCAGGCTGATGCTGCTCTTATGTTTGATGGAACTCGAATCTTGCTTGATGCTCTGGATCGCATATTAACCGATCGACCCAATGTATTTGATGCCAATTTACGTGACAATGAAGTTTATAATGGAAACAATCCAAAGCCTGGGATCAATTGTGCTGAAACTTATCCAGCTCTTTACTGGGAACATGGAAGGTTAATTGTTCAATACTTGAAACAAGTAAGTTGATTAATTTTGCTTGAACCATAAATAAGATTTTAGTTTAATCGTTACAAATGTTGCAATTTTCTCGATCTTTAAGAGAATCGAATTTCTATGCATTTTCTTATTAAAGTAAATCAAAAAGCTCAACCAGAAAATTGCATTCGTAAAACAGTATTAAACAAAATTATAAAATCAAGAAATCTGTGCAAATATTCGAATAGTTTCAATTACTTTTGGCAAATGGGCAGATAATGAATTAGATTTTCACAGAAACTTCATGACTTGAAACCAAAATTTGTTTTCAGCACTTAACCAACAACTTCGGTTCTCGCGCTTTCTACCGAAAATGCTGGAATGTTTGATTCAAAAAAATGATGAACAGAGCTAACTTGAGTTCAGCAAGCACCGAAACAATAAGACAACCTTTTCGTTCACAACTTTCTAATCAACCTAATAATGATGCATTTTCCTTTCGTCCAAACACTTTTTTCTTGTTCCTTTTTAGACGAATATTGAAGGTCTAACGGGGCGAATTGTCTTTGATGATTCAAGTGTACGTCGAAATTATTCAATAGACATGATTCAAACGACAATGAATAGTGAGGTGACCAAGATTGCTGAATGGTCAGAAGAAGAAGGAATGTCATCAGTCCAAACAAACCATCATCGAGCTATCCAGAATAACGCCAATTATGAAAATAAAACTTTTATTGTTACAAGCATACTTGTGAGTGAATTTTTCTATTCAATTTATTTTCTTTGGTTTTCACCTTCAAGTCTAAATGAAACATGAGAATGACAAATGAAAATATTTATTCACAGGATGAACCTTACTTAATGTTTAAAAAAACGGGTAAAGATGGAGTTAAATATGAAGGCAATGATAGATTCGAAGGTTACTGCAAAGATTTGGCAGATTTGCTTGCTGAACATTTGAAGATAAATTATACGCTTCAACTTGTGGCTGATTACAGGTATGGTTCACCAGATAAAAACTCCCCTGTTGGATGGAACGGAATGGTTGGTGAATTGATTAAACAGGTAAATGGATTTGAACATTGTTTTTACATCGATAATGGTATAAAATGGAAACATTGGATTAGTCAGTTTTTTGTTCATGTATGCATGGACATCATTCAATGTCCATGCCCTAAAATAATCTTCCATCTACACTTTTGAATATTAGCTGCAATCTGAATTGCACCAGAAAACATCATGCAGAGTTTTGAACTTCAATCCATTATTCGATGAAATTTTATCCAATTAAATCATATTATTCATATTAATATGTAGATTTTGTTTTACCTTGATCAATCAGGAAGCTGATATTGCAATAGCACCATTAACAATAACTGCAGACCGTGAACGTGTTATCGATTTTACTAAACCCTTCCAATCACTGGGAATCAGTATCATGATCAAAAAGCCAGTCACAAATAATCCAAGTATCTTCTCCTTCATGAATCCATTAAGTCCAGGGATTTGGATGTGCATAATTTTAAGCTATTTTGGTGTCTCAGTGGTCATGTTCATTGTCAGCCGATTCTCACCCATGGAGTGTCGAGTTGCTCATACACATGAGGGTCAAACCGTTTTGACAAATGATTTTACTCTTTACAATAGCCTTTGGTTTGCACTTGGAGCCATAATGCAACAAGGAGTTGATGTTTGTCCAAGGTTAGTCCATTATCTCGTAATCATTATTATTTTTGTGTGTCATTCCAATGGAAGTCTAATTCATGGATACAGAGAAGGGTCTCTTGATTAACTAGAAAATCTTATAATCTCTTAATCTTAAATGTTGCTTTAATTGGATTGGAATGAATTTCTCTATATATTTCTCTTTACTTTTAAACTAAAGCCATTAATTTTTTCTTCTCTGTTTCTGTTTGTTTTCACTCTTTCAGATCCTATGCTGGTCGTATTGTTGGCAGTGTTTGGTGGTTTTTCACTTTGATTATAATTTCATCTTATACTGCTAATTTGGCTGCCTTTTTAACCGTTGAACGTATGGTAACACCAATCAACAGTGCTGATGATCTTGCTAAGCAAACTAGAGTTGAATATGGAGTTCTTAAAGATGCGTCTACAATGGAGTTTTTTAAGGTTGGTAAATAATGAAACTTGACTCTTGTTAGTTTTCCATTGATTCTAATGTCTTCTCTTTTTGTTCCTCCAGAAATCAAAGATACAAGTTTACTCTAGAATGTGGGAATTTATGAATTCACATCCACATGTTTTCGTGAATTCATATAAAGAAGGAATAAGCCGAG